GTTTTGTATTTTTGTTAGATTTTTATGTGCTCATTTTTAAAATAAATTATATAAAAATATAAAAATTAACGTTAATTTAAAAATTATTATTACATGAGTAAATTTAATTAAACAGTTAATAAATTTATTTTTGATTTAAATTTGTCTAATATGTACTTTAAAAGTACAGTATTAATTATACCTATTATATTTAATTTCTATAAAAATAAAAAAAGTTTACTTTATTTTCTTATCAATACTATGTGTATATTTTTAATTAGATCATTAATAAAATTAAAATTAATTTTTAATTTTTTTTAAATATAATAAATATTCTCTTATCCTACTCTTAAGTCACATGTTATAAATTCCTTTTTTTCATCTAAATTTGGTTTTGTATTGTTCAACGGCGATTGGGATGATGAATATCATGTCAAAAACTATTAATTCATCCATTAAAAGGTTCATAGAAAAAAAAAAATCATCCATTAAAAGGTGGGGAAAAACAGTGGTCCAAAAACGGGACCATTAAATAGACAGAGGTATAATTCAGTACTTAATGTAAGATTTTGTCAATGAGACTCGCTATCACACGAATTGGACCTGCTTTTGAATGCATATAGATAGTTTTTATTATAATTTTTAAGCGTTATTAAATAAATAAATATATACGATATTATCAATGTTATTAAAATATAAAAATAATATATAAAATAAAGTTATATAAAAAATTATCTCCAAATCATTAATTTTTTTGAGTTGACCTTGTGATCATAAGTGGTAACCAGTTTAATGTAAAAAATGTATATTAATTTTACTTTTAACTTAAGATATAGGTTAAAAAGATAAATTATACAAATTACTCTACTTCTGGCTGATGTGATAACCACCGCTCAACGTTTTTCATTGACAAATTACTCCTTTTAGTTGTCCATCTTAGCAAATTGCTCCTTATTTCGAGATGACATTATCATTGATTTGCATAATTTGCTGGTTAGAAAAACCTTAAGAAAGTAAATTAATAAAGGCTATTCTAACCCCTTTTTTGGATAAATTTTTGACATTAATTATTATTAAAAAAAAATAAAAATTGACCTTTATTTAATCAATTGTCATATTAAAATGATCTATATGATATTAATGATGAAATTAATGTAAGTTTTTATCGTTTTTAATATTAATTAATTATAAAATATATATTAATTACATTTTTAATCTCTACCATTTGACATAAATTAAAAAAATTCATTATTAATAAATGGGTTTGTCTAACTTATATTCTAAAAATAAAAGTTAGAAATATAATAAATGTATCTTTTTTAATTAATTTTACATAAAAATTATAAAAATTGATATTTATTTTAATA